GCCGGTTTGGACGAGTCGGGTAATGGTTTAGTTCCTTGAGGTCTTAACTCAACTGTTTTCATTAGTAAATCTTTATTAGCCTCAGCCAATAATAAACAGGAGATCAAATCAGTATAAGTGGTGAAAACTCTTTCACTAGTCATTTGGTCGGCTAATTGGTCGAGTAAGACAGCTTAGAGATGCTGCCTCGACCACGGCTATAGCCGCGTCTCGCCTACGGCCATGACATGGACCACGACCACGGTTATTGTGGTTCCCTTGTCCACGGTCGTACGAGCTATAATTTCCTGGAACACCACGTCCATTCCATCCACAGACCTCTAGTCTTATAGCCTTTGGTAGTAACACCGTTTTATGGTGATCTCTGCTGTAAAGCAGTCCAAAGCTCTAGTGGATTTCCATACTGATTCTTTAGACTCTCATTGAGATGATGGTTTCTTTCAACCTCTGGAATTATTGCCTTATCCAATCAATTCAGATAATCAATGCATATGGTTTCTTTCAACCAATGCCAATTACATAGCCAGTGGTATGCCAACAATGTCTTATGGCTATTTGCTGCATACAATTTTGGCTCTTGGGTACTTTAAGTGATTCACTTGACCATAAAGTATATCGACCATAAACAGAGTATCAATCATATATGTAAGTACATTGACCATGATGCACCGTTAGCATATCCCATGATCAAGCAAAACACATACAATTATACTTGGTTGATATTTCTAGGCCACTTACATTAGGGGTTTGTGATTCCCTAAGACTGAATATATCGACCACAAAACAAACCATACTCGTAACTACAATGACCATGGTGCGAATCAAACATACACACGCTCAATGATCACTCAAAACTCATATGACTTGTAGTTGATCGATATGGCCATATACTAAGTCACACTGCTTTCATTCACATGTTATACCAAACAAATAATGTTACACGGCCATGACATATAAACAAACACAAACAATTTCATGTCATGGTACATACAAGGCCACACGGCCACAAGTCATGANATCAAGTTTGGACTAGGATGGCTAATCCTGTCATGCCATTAAGTGTTAAATTTCGTGGGTATACCTCTCAGGTTACCATATCTCATTGCCTCTTATCATACTGATCTCTGGCATAGTCTAGATCAATAGAGTACGCATGTATAATCTTATAAGCTTTCAGACGGTTTTCTTTCAAACCTTGAAGGAACTTTTATATCCTGTTGTTTACCCATTGTTTCATTTGGAAACCATATTATATCTCATAAGCTCAATGGGCTTCTATGGGTGAGAATAAAGCATTATCTTTCTATACCATGCGTGCCTTTGGGGCAATAATGTACTTGGCCTTTACGTGCCAATATGCTTAGCCTATTTAGGCTCCAATGTGCTTAGCTTTTATCAGAGTTCTTTAGACTATTCAGTACTGATTATTTGGCTCTTTTTCTTAATGGTCATACCCGCATCAATAGCCTTATGTATTGATGTTTTGATCATCTTACTTTGGACGTAATTCATCATCTCTTATTCTGGACCATGTGAGCTTCTAGATTTTCTTTCAAATCTTTAATATAAAGCTTACATAAATATTCAATGATTATATACTCCTTGGTCCAGTGATTACCCATACCACACGAATCATACTTAATCTTGGGTTTAAAAGAACATAATTCGACCATGTCCTCGACCACGGTCAAAACCGGGTGAGTTCATGCGGCCTCGTCCTCGCTCTTGTGCCTTTAAACATGTTATGAACTCGTCCCTGGCCCTTGTTAGAACCATGACCACGTCCAGAACCTATCCCATGGCCAAAACCGGATTGGTTGTTATGTTGGACGAGGTTACTCACTTTCTCGGCTTCTATGGCCGGTTTGGACGAGTCGGGTAATGGTTTAGTTCCTTGAGGTCTTAACTCAACTGTTTTCATTAGTAAATCTTTATTAGCCTCAGCCAATAATAAACAGGAGATCAAATCAGTATAAGTGGTGAAAACTCTTTCACTAGTCATTTGGTCGGCTAATTGGTCGAGTAAGACAGCTTAGAGATGCTGCCTCGACCACGGCT